TTCATTTCATTTACGTGATTGGAATTTCCCGCTTCTTAGGAGGCCATCGTCTAAGTCGATCCACCAGTTCGTTGGGGTCGTTCCAGTACACGTAGTCAATAGCGTTATCTGTGACATTCATCATTAGCTTACTGCCGCCACCACGATGTCGGCGTCTTTGAAGAATCGGCTTTATGATATATTTATATTTCCAGCTATTTCCGCCCAATATCGGCTTCGATGAATCATAAGACAGTCTGTTGGCACTGGTATTTCTAATGATGTCAGCATATTTCTTTTCATCGTCGCTCGTGTAAATTTTAAGTGGACGCTTCTTAAACAACAATTCAAAGAGGCCCCTCGTTCCCTCATATTCGCTGTCCTTTATTAGCACATTATCGTCAACGAATTGGACTTTAGAATCTCCGATATAGAAGTCATCTTCGTCGAGATTGTATCTGATGCCATACTTTACGTCAAAGCTATCTTTAGTATCATGCACCAGTCCGGATATGTAGAATTTAGGCAGATCGTGGAATTTCTCAAGATATTCCTCGTCAAAATTGGATTCTTCGATGCCGCCGTCCCTCTCGGTGGGGTCGGGATCCATATAGTTATCGCTATCGGCATTACTCGTTGTTTCTTCTATCTCACTCTTTGGTTCGGACTTCTTTATCTCCTGTTTTACGACGGGCAAGGTCGACAGCTGCGACTGAGGTGTTGATACTTGTTTGATATTCGTAGCAATCGTTCGAAGTGGGGCCGTGATGGGTGCAAAAGATTTTTCAACCAGCTGATCATGACGCTTGAGAGCCTCCAATTTTCGTTTGATGGACTTTCGAGCTTTGATAATGTTATTAGTGGTAGCGGTCGCGTCCATAATGATACACGGCTAACGAATGACTAATGATAATGCACACCTTTACAGGTATATATACTCATCAAAGCCTTTACGGTAGCGCCGACCGCTGGCAATGTCGCTATCCTTGTCTATCACTAAGAACCCATATCTATCTGTCCAGCATAAGGAGCACATGTGTTTGAAATCCTCGAATTTCATATCTGTATTCACATGATCGTTATAAACATGCCGGAGATTGAGGTCATCCTGCTTGAATAGCACCATAAAGTTGGCATTGTCTCTCACCAAATGCTTCGGTATACGCGTATAAGTCTGACAGAGATAGAAACAATCCACCCGCTTATGTCGACCCATGCTGAAATAGTCACGTATCGGGCTCTGGTTATCGCATGCTACGTCATCGAAGATAAACACCGAGTCAAATTTAGCTTGGGCTGGCGGTAATATGTCGTCGCTGTCCTTGAACTGATTGTATTCAACAAGTGAATCGAGCACCTTCTCCAGATACTTGTATTTAGGCTGATACAACGATTTCGAGTAGACGTAAACATTTTTAAAGTACAATCCATTCGGATGAGTCAGCAGACCGATCATCACGTTCGTTTTGCCACAGTTCGAAGGTCCACATATAATACATCTAAGACTATGTGGTAGCAGGGGTCCATGTTTTTTGAATTGCTTATCGCCGTTGTCCACGAAATCGATGTTTTCGATTTCGAGACTGCCACCTGCCGCAACTTCTTTCTTGAAGCGCATGATCAATACTGACAGAAAGACAGGTATGCATCGACTATAAATAGGTAGCTCTCACCTGGCGCACCTTAGTTTGTTCACGTGTGTGGTACAGGTAACATGGCACTTTTCAATTCTTTGATCAACAAGTTACCTTTCGAAGCGCATATTCCCGGGTATCGTTTCTGTGGCCCCGGCACCAAGTTGGCCAAGAGGCTTGCTCGCGGTGACGAAGGCATAAACGGCCTTGATAACGCATGCAAAGACCACGATATCGAGTACTCTAAAGTGTCCGACGTGGCGGGCAGAAACGTAGCAGACAGAAAATTAGCCCATCAAGCTCTGAAGAGGGTGTTCGCGAAAGATTCCTCACTGGCTGAGAGGGCAGCCGCTGCGGGAGTAGCCGGAGCCATGGCTGCTAAAGTTAAATTGGGCTGGGGGATCGCGAAGCCCAAGAGGAAGAAGCCTGTGAAAAAATCCGGCGGGGCTCTAACATTCCGCAAAGTTTCTGATAAAATTCGCAAAGCTGTACGTCGGGCCAGCACCGTTGAGGATGCCGTGAAGAAGGCTGTTCGAGTAGCCGAACGCATGAAGAAGGCCTCCACCGGAGGCATATCACATCCAAAGGCCCGCGTAATTCCAATTCCAAAGACTGGCGGTCTCCTGCCTCTGATTCCCATTTTTGCGGGACTTAGCGCTCTCGGTGCTCTGTCTGGTGGAGCTGCGGGCATCGCCAAGGCTGTAAACGATGCTCGGAATGCAGCCACCCAGCTTAAGGAATCTCAACGTCACAACGAAAAAATGGAGGCAATAGCTCTCGGCAAAGGGCTCTACCTACGCCCCTATCGACAAGGACTTGGACTGTATATGAATAAGACGAAGAAGAAGAAGTGTTGTAACAAGACCAAGAAAGCCAGCAAATGACTAGAAAAACTACCGAATCGCGCTCTCACCGATCAAGATTTACTTAAATACGTAAAATTATTGGAAATTCCACACTTCAGAGGCGTCTATATGAGGGACCGATTACCTAAAAATGTACATAAAAATGAGTGTGGGATCCTGAATTTGGACAGTGACAGCGGTGCAGGTACTCATTGGACGGCATATTACAAGAGAGGACCTGAAGCCGTATATTTCGATAGTTTCGGTAATTTGAGACCGCCTGTGGAATTATTAAAATATCTAAAGTCATGTCGCGTCAAATATAATCATAAACAATACCAGACGTATGATACGGTGAATTGTGGACATCTGTGTCTGAAATTCCTATATAATGAGTCACGCTGATAAAGTCACGATCAGTCAGCGTGAGTCATCCAAGCAGAACAGTGCACGTGTGTGTTGATATGTCATATACGCTTACATTATCGGGTGATTCATCGATTCTGAGTTCGCAGTTTTACCCGCCTATTGAGCTCGAGGACGATGCTGAATATGTAATCGGGCTTACGGACTTTCTAGCCTACCACTCCATACCGAATGTTGATTCTACGAATAATCGTTTCTATTACGGTGATGCTGATAAAGTTATAAAAATACCGGAGGGATCCTACGAGATAGAAGATATAAATACATACATAAATAGTAATTTAGCCGAGCTCACCGCTACCGATACTAATCTCCCCGATAATTTAGTGTTTGTTTCCATAAAATCCAATAAAAATACGTTAAAGTGTGAAATTAAAGCCAACACGACAATTAATTTCAACAAACCCTACAGTATAGGTAGATAATTGGGATATAAAAACCGTAAATTAAAGGCGAACAAGTTTCACGAGTCCAATAATCCTATTAAAATTCAAAAAGTCAACGCCATTTGTGTGGAGTGCAATCTCGTTTCGAACAGTTTCATTAACGGTCAACTGGGTCACATCTTACACGAATTTTTCCCGAGAGTTGGTCCTGGCTATAAAATAATAGATTCTCCTGCCAACGTAATCTACCTGCCGTTCAACAAGCGTCTCATCGATGGTGTAACCATTAAAGTAGTGGATCAAGATGGGGATTTGATCAATTTCCGTGGAGAAGTCATCACGATAAGACTGCACCTGAAGAGGAATGGGGCTTAGAATCCGGAGTGGTTTTGGGCTCGCTGTCGTCGGTCACAGCCGAAAGCCTTTAAAAGCCTCACCTGGAGCGAAATCAATTAGTCTACCTGTGACGTTTAAAGGGTTCACATCGCAAAACAAGAAGATTTTGTACTCTCTGGGCTACAAAGTGCTACTGCCACGTCACAATGAATTCTAATATTCTAAACGTGTTGGAGAAGCCGCTCTTCGATAACGCTATTGTAAATTTCGAGAAGCGTTCCCACGGTCCGTATTCGGCGACGAACTTGAACAACAACGATGAAATCCGCATCCCGATTCAGCAGCAGGATACGTATACGGCTCCATATTATAGTCTCCTGTATATCAGAGGTAGACTGTGCAAAGCTGATGGCGCGGTTTCGGCGACTGCAAAGTTCGACAGGATGGGCATTTTGCTGCTGTTCGATGAAATCCGATACGAGTTGAATGGTATACCTGTGGATAGATCGCGAAACCCCGGCCTCACGACCATCATGAAGAACTATGCGTCAATCAGTCAAAATGAAAGCATCAAGTTGGAAAATGCCGGCTGGATTGTCGGCGACCATTTCACCGATGCCGAGGGCAATTTCGACGTATGCATCCCTCTGAGGATATGCATCGGATTCGGGGAAGATTTCCAGAAAATTATCGTCAATTTGAGACAGGAGCTGGTACTTATCCGCGGCTCCACTGATACGAACGCCATCGTGGGCGTTGCTGGCGACGATGAGGGTCTCCGTGTACAACTACAGAGTGTTTCATGGAAGGTGCCACACGTATCGGTGGCTGATGCGGAACGTTTGAAATTGTTGAAATATATCGACAGAAACGTAGAATTGGCTGTGCCTTTCCGTAGCTGGGAACTGCACGAGTACCCCTTGCTTACCGAGACCCGGACACATACTTGGAGCATAAAAACTTCTTCACAGCTGGAGAAGCCTCGATTCATAATTTTCGGCTTCCAAGTGGCCCGTAAGAATAAGATTGATAAGGCCATGAGCCAGTTTGATCATTGCAATTTGACCAATTTCAAGGTTTTTCTAAATTCCGATTCGTACCCGTACGATAACTTGAATGTGGATTTTTCAAAGAATTGTTATGCCATCCTGTATGACATGTATGCTCAATTTCAACATTCATACTATCAGAAGGATAGTGAGCCTTTTCTAACTACATATACGTACAAGTATATGGCTCCTCTGGTAGTCGTCGATTGTTCCTGTCAGAATGAGGTTCTAAAGTCGGGAACTGTGGACATTAGACTGGAATTCGGTACTAATGACAATATCCCGAAGGAGACCGCAGCCTATTGTCTTATAATTCACGATAGGATCGTGTACTATAACCCTCTGACGAGCATAGTTCGCACTTATTAGCATCAGCAGCTATGTACATAATCGACTTGCAGGGATTTCAATACAAAAAAGAATTGGCTTTCACGTGCAAGGAAATTTCCATTTTTAACATTAACGACAAATCCTGTGTGAATAGAATAGTCAAGCCCAAGATTCCCTATAAACATCTCAGGGAGAGTGTAAAAATCCAAATCGACTGGACTGTGAATCACGTACACGGTCTTAGATGGTCGTCATCGTGGGATAATTTACCGTACAGTGGACTCGGAGATTTCATATCCGATAGTGTGTTAGACGAGGATCAGCCTGTCCTCGTGAAAGGAATGGAGAAAAAGAGATGGCTGGAGCCTCATTTACCTAATAATATTATTATTGACTTGGAGCCGTATGGCTGTAGTAGAATAAAAGATTTAATGTTATCTAGCTTAAAATTTCATTGTAATAGACATAAAATTAATAATTTACGCTGCACTAGGCAGAATGTATATGCTATATATAAATGGTATATTGTTAATAGAGATAAGCTTGATGATTGTATTTATTTATTTTAAATAAAGTGGAAAAATATTGCTGAACTCTGTGTTTCATTTCTCGAATAGTGAGTGGGGTGGGGTGGGGAGAGAGAAGTAGTGGAGGGAGAGAGGGGAGTGAGACGCTAAACACGCGTCTGATAGCATAAATCCAATTCATTGTATTAGTAGCAGTAGCAGTAGCAGCAATGAGTGAACACAGAGTTGTTAGTATAAGTGAATTGTTAAAGGGAGAATTATGCACATGTAAATTGTGCACCGTCCCACAATATGTGTGGGACATATTAAATATTAAAATAAATAAAGAGGAGGAGGAGAAGGAGGAGGATGGACCTCCAAAACTAATCCCATTTCGGGAAATATTAAAAGGTATGTTAACGTTTGTTCAATATTTAAAAAATTATATCTAAAAATTGCTCTCTCATTGTTACAGACAAGGAGCTGTACCGTAGGCTATTAGAAGCCCACGGATGCCTGGAAACCACCACCACAGCGGGGCAATAATAATATATTTTATATATTTTAAATTTAATTATTATTTATTATTATTATTATTATGTTATTATATTACTATTTTTTATCAAAATAAATGTTTTTTTATTGAATATTTTTCTCTTTTTATTATTTTCCTTGTCACACATACACATATTTAAAGAATATTAATGTTTTTTTTTATTGAATATTTTTATTTTTAATTTTTTTCATTGTCACTCATATTTAAAGAATATTAATGTTTTTTTATTGAATATTTTTCTCTTTTTATTTTTTCCTTGTCACACTCATATTTAAACAATATTAATGTTTTTTATTATTACTACTTAGAATTAAAGTGAAATAAAACACAAATATAAAAATATATAAATTTATTAATTAAATAATACATTTTTTTTTTCCTTAATATATAATATATTTACAAAAAACAATATCTATATACAATACAATAACAAAAAAAATATTTACAAATAATATTTATTTAACATATATAATGTCTGAGAATAATCTCCAACTAATTTTGATGGCCATTTGCTGATGTCTGGACCAGATGGCCATCCAACACCTTGACCATTGGTACCCTTAGTGAGGTTCTCCTGGAGCCATACCATCAGCTGCCTATGTGTTTCATTAGTTTTTACATTTAATTTAAAAATTAAATTATTTTCTTTAATTTTCCGGTGCAGTTTCCAAAAAATTATATTGAGTAAAGTAGGCGGCCTCACAAACGGCCTTATCTATTGACCAATCGATTTCTTTGTATTTTAGACAAATATTTTTTGCCGAGAAACATTGACTATGTCGATCGACCAATGACGGATCACCGTTGACCAATAATTTTTCCAAATAATACCGATTAAATGAATTTAATGTTGGATAATGACTCTTTATAATTTGACGTAAAATATCGAGGCTAATATGAGACATATATTCCTTTTGGAAAATATTTTGCAGTTGTTCGATAAATATATCGTATTGAAGTTTTTTGGCAAAGATTTTTTTCATCAACCCGATGTTACATTTATCGCGCAAAGCTAGCCAATATATTGCACGGTCGGGAATCACGATTTTTTCCAGAATTTCGTCAATTGAAAATTATCGTCAAAAATAACTCTGAATGAAATTTTCGTAAGTTTTTTCTGAAATTTTAACAAGTTCGTATTACATATTCGGTAACTATTCTCCCACAGCTTTCGTCTTTCATAAGACCTAGTACTTTTTTATTGACGCGAGGCATACCGTACGCATTATCTTCGGGGTAGTCTGATGTATCAANCAATACAAAAAGAAAAAAAATATTTACAAATAATATTTATTTAACATATACAGGGTGATTCAGTCATAATGTCATTAATTTTAATCACGTATTCGGAAGGCTTAATAAAGACAGAAAATCGGAAAAAAATGTTTTACTCGACTTTTAAAAATGAAGGAATTCAACCCATAACTCTCGCTAAGAAGGCGGCCCTACCAGATGCCCGGATGCTCGGAAAATTTTGTAAGGTAATGTCACGAACAAGCCGTCAGCTGAGGCGAACAGCGTTGCCAAGTTCACATCATAATTACATTTAATTTTGCCGCTTTATTATACGGATACATATGTACGAAACCAATAAAATGCAAGTAAATAAAGAATCATGCTGCATTTTATTATAACTAATTTTAATAATTGTATTAACGTAGTGCAAAATGTTTTAACAAGCCTTACTTCTCGAAGTCAACTTTCGTGAAAAGAAAATAAATAAAGCAGAGGTTTGTAGGCACACTGAATTTTATCAAATAAAAAAAATCGGCACACTAAATACCCGAATATACAAAATACACTACACACGGTTACAAAACCATTACCTAACAATTTAAAGCGTTTATTCAAATCTACCACCCTCCATATCTCCCGCATTTTTCCCGCAAAGGAGTTAACATAACACATTTTCAAAAAGTTCAAGCTTTAGAAGCAGCTGATTTCCCCAATCGTCTTGAATTTTGCAATTGGTTCCTAAATCGAAGTGCAGCAGAACTTTATTAACAAAGTGCTCTGGACGGATGAATGCTATTTTACTCGTGCTGGCATTTTAAACAGGTAAAAAACATAAGTATTGCTTTCTCAAAAACAATAAGTGCCTACCTAGGTTACACCAAAGTTTAGATTTACACTAAAGTTTACATTTATTATGTAAACTTTGGTTATACGCAACTGCATATTGAATAATAAATTGAAATACTAAAACTGTGTATTATTTAACATAATAAATTATAAAACGTGAAAACGTTAATAATATTAAAAATGATAAATTGTAATAACCGTACATTCGAAAACAATCATCCCTATTCATTGATGACACGATTTTCCTTTGATAAAAGACCGACAACTTTTTGCTCTACTTTGCATGGAATACGATCCTACTAAAGTGCACACGTGCAAATTAGAAGGTTATTGACCTCGACACAGGTTAACCTAGGTCGGAAATACGTACCGAGTTGTTTATTTGTCTCCGTCCGATTGTATTTTTATCTTCTATTACTTACAGTCAATATTTAAATACTACATACATTTCACCCTCTCTTTATAATTTATCTAGTGAGTGTTGGTTTTTTATGTCATTATTTCTGTAATGAAATTGAAATGGTTATGAAATGAAATTTAAATTATTTGAACTCTTGGGGTTTTGTAATTTCAATATTAAATTTTATTTAAAGTGAAACGGAGCTAATTTCTTTGCAGCCATAATAGTCACATTTGGTCACCCGCACACTACTCGTCGGTTTAGCTTTCAGAGGAGGTTGGGTGTCAATGTATGGACAGGAGTATATGGCGATTGTTTAATTAGGCCGCATTTTCTACCTGTACATCTGAATGAGCCGCATCACTTTGAATTTTTAGTAGAAGGCTTACAGCATATTAAAAAATTATCACTATGACGTTAATAAAATATGATTTTTGGCAAGTCATGCTCAGACCTCCTCGAGGTTCTTGCTGGGTAACAATAACAATTTAATATGTTGATTGCATAATTATAAAAAAATAATTTATAGCATTTTAAATTATTATTGGCTGACTTGAGCAAACCGTTTATTTATTGTCTTTATATGTGCGAAAACATATAAATATGGCAACATTGCATCTAGGTCGTTTTGTTCATATCGTAGCCGGCTGACGTCAGCCGGTCAGTAACAGCCTGAAAAGGGGGTTAAATAATGATTTGAAAATATTTTTTTCAGCTTAAATATGCATTTAATTTTTTTTAATCACGCCATCGTATTATACTCATTTTTCTCTATCTGCTCTTAAAATTATTGACATTATGACTGAATCACCCTGTATAATGTCTGAGAATAATGTCCAACTAATTTTGATGGCCATTTGCTGCTGTCTGGGCCAGATGACCATCCGACACCTTGACCATTGGTACCCTTGGAGACGTTCTCCTGGAGCCATACCATCAGCTGCCTATGTGTTTCATTAGTTTTTACATTTAATTTAGAAATTAAATTATTTTCTTTAATTTCCCGGTGCAAAGTTTCCAAAAAATTATATTGAGAAAAGTAGGCGGCCTCACAAACGGCCTTATCTATTCACCAATCGATTTCTTTGTAATTTAGAAAAATATTTTTTGCTGAGAAACATTGACTATGTCGATCGACCAATGACGGATCACCGTTGACCAATAATTTTTCCAAATAATACCGATTAAATGAATTTAATATTGGATAATGACTCTTTATAATTTGACGTAAAATATCGAGGCTAATATGAGACATATATTCCTTTTGGAAAATATTTTGCAATTGTTCGGTAAATATATCGTATTGAAGTTTTTTGGCAAAGATTTTTTTCATCAATCCGATGTTACGTTTATCGCGCAAAGCTAGCCAATATATTGTACGGTCGGGAATCACGATTTTTTCCAGAATTTTGTCAATTAATTGAAAATTATCGTCAAAAATAGCTGTTTGAAGGAAATTTTCGTAAGTTTTTTGTGAAATTTTAACAAGTTCGTATTGCAATTGAATGTCTAAGTCGGCCATCGCGAACAACGGTAGAAAGACGAATGATGTCAACCTTTACTATATCGCGCTATTTATTTTCGACTCAGAACTCCATGGGAGTGGTCGAACAAGTCGCTGCTTGTTGGAAGTTATATCCCTACGGGATCGTGTCTGTGGTGACGTAATTTATTATGCGCCTGTCATCGTACGGACTGAGAGCCAATTTATTTTGTTTAATTGTATATAAATCGTGATGTTTGGAACGTATAAGTCTCTGCTCTTTAACCAGTGTGTTTTGATTAAATAGGCAATTCGTGAAATCTTCGAAAGTAATGTGTTTTACGGCTGATCGAGTAAGTCCTTTGATACGCATATTTGAGGGTTTTCCCTCGACTTTATACGAGTACATTTTAGCTCTGAGCCCGGCATATTCGGTAACTATTCTCCCACAGCTTTCGTCTTTCATAAGACCTAGTACTTTTTTGTTGACGCGAGGCATACCGTACGCATTATCTTCGGGGTAGTCTGATGTATCAAACAGCTGGATGTCTCTCTTCATGCTCTCGTAAATGTCAATGTCCGTGAATTCGTATATTAAACTGTCAGTGTCCGTGTACAATAATTTAGCCTGATTGCCGAAATTTTGTTTAATATAATCGTAATGGAAATCGTAAAGTATAATTTTGGAAAGGTCCAGAATACTAAATCCAACATAAATCGGCTTGTTGAACTTAATTTTGAGTCTGTTCATCTCTATTATAACCATGTCTTCATCGAAAATTGTTAAACTGTGAAAATTTGGTTTCGCGATCAAATTTTTTGCCCCATATCGACCCTCCCATTGTGTGACCAGTTTAACGTCTTTATGTTTTCGCACATTTTCCATGGTTTTACCAAAGACAGAATTATTCATTAATTTATAGAAATTTTTCTCAAATTCGTTAGTCGCCTGTTTCCGTAAATCCGTATTTAAATTTATGTATTTTTGTAACCAAGCCGATTGGTTGAATTTAAGAATTTTGTGTACTTTAGTAATCTTTAATCCCCGCTCAATACACCGTTTCAATTGTCTGTAATGGATAACGTAACCGGTTTTCGAAAAAAGTGTTGTCAGTAATTTTGATTGTTTGCCTCCTGGGGGAACCATTTGTTCCGGGCACAGGGGTAAGTCTTTGTGGAGTTCATGAAGTTCGGGCGGGTACTCAATGTCCACTTCTAAAATATAACCGATTTCAGCATCATCTGCTAAATCGGTTATATTCAAGTTGTAGAATTGATCGACGGGTACCCACTCGAATCCCCCGGTTGGAAGGGGAAGAGACATCGCCGCGCCGTATAAGTTATTTACATCATAGTACATGATGTACTTATCGGGTTCGTCCGGATTGTATGCCTCACCCATGTACTTGTTGTTAGCCTTTGAGTACCGGTTCGACACTTGGGCTACGCCACCTCGGATCCCCTTCTCGATAATCAAAACTTTGTCAATGTCCGTCAGTAATTCTAATGTCTGTTTAGTAATTTTGAGCATGGAATCAAAGGCCAGACCGGGGGAGGTATAATAATGTAAAGGCTCAAGACCGTAAGTTTTTAGACAATTTTCACGGAAATTTTCGAAAATATCAGCCAAAAGTAGAACGTCAGTTTTCAGGTACAAGTCCGAATATTCCCCCAAATTTTGAATATTAAATGTATTCCAGACATTTGTAGCGTGCTCGTACTCGCTGTCTGAAATAGCTTCGTCAGTCAGTTTACTATAAAAATCGTCTTTAGTCGGTAATGTCGTGTCATTTAATTTTTCCCACGAATTTAGATAATCGTAAGGAAAAACACCTTTCCTGGTCAAAAGGCGGAAAGTCTCCTCCGAATCACAATGAGATTTAGTGATTCTTTTTTGGCTGTCATCGAGGTAAGAGGCCAATTTTTCAATTTTGTCAGCCATAAACCGGAAAGAATCTATAAATCTCAATTTGATTCTGGTATCCTTTACATCTTTTGTGAAGGAAATGTATTTTTCCTTATTTATTGGTAAAAGTGAAATGTTGCCCTCAAATGACGTAACCAAGTGACGTATGATTAAGTGACTCTCGTAAGAAGATAAGCATTGAAAAACGACCGGTATAACGTAACTGTCTGTATAATTTAGGTTACAAGAATTATGACAAGGCCCTCGGTAGACTGAATTTAGATGTGAGTGATCCATAATTTTGATATCGAAACTGGTAAACGGTTTTTCGCAAATGTGACAAAATTTCGCGTTGTCAAGTTCGAATTTTTGCGCGGCAGTCAAAGGCTCCATGAGCTTCGGGTGAGATAGGATGTTATTCACCTCGTCGGCAATATGTTCAAGTTCCCGGACGAACCACTCCTGACAATCACTACCCCGATACAATTTAAAACGTGAGAGACTATCATCATATGAACATTTAAGATAATAGGCGACACTAAACGCGGTACGTTTTCGTACATTTTGTGTATTTAAATTTAGATCGTTGTTCTCGTCACACGGTTCCAAAATGCGTTCAAAATCTGCATAAACGGCGAACGGTACCCTCTCTTTAAAACGATAATTTTTAAATTGTAAAAATTTTTCTTGCTCACCTGGTAGCTCTACTTTGCAAGTATTTGTTTTATAATTGCAATATATTAAGTGATCACCTAAAAGACGCTGCTCTGTGAAATGATTAAGACAACGATTGCAAATATGTTGTTCACCGTGGGGTTTAGATATTTGTTTGAATAATAAGCGCGACATGTTTTTTATCCAGGCAAAGTGATAAACAGGTGTTTCGTCGCCGTCGTTATCTTGAACCGAATTTGCCGGGACCATCAGTAAATTTATAACTCGTTTGCAATCGCTTTTACTCAAGCATACCGGTAGGACTTTCTTCATATCAATACCGTACACATTAATTGCCAAGTTATTTAAACGCTCTAATTTTGGAATTTGTTTTACAGTTATAGGAAATTCCATGCCGTCAAATTTTAATATGTCACGAAATTTGGGATATGATGAAGTTCTATATGCATGTGCTTTAGCTGGATGTAGAGCAGAGACTATGCTCCATAAAACACAGTATTCATCATTATTTTTTGCGTTAACAACACATTTTTTTCTTTTAATAAACTCGGGCATCTCGACGTACGTTGACGAGCCCACGGTAATCGGAGAATAATTATTTATATTTACACGCAACCCGATAATTTCCATAATAGTCCAGCCGCTATTACGATGTTCAAAGTTTTCTAGTTTGTGTAGTATAGGTTGAACAACATTGTCTTCCCACCACTGTTTTATATTTGTACTGAGGTCAATAATTTTTTTGTCCCGAATGATTTTAAATCTACCTTCCCGTCATTTAATTTTACGAAATTTCCTTCAAAAACTAAATTTACTTTAATTAACGAGTCCTTTAAGGCATTTCTCGCTTTGATAGAAAAACTACGAAATAATTTTTTTAGAAACTGTTTAGGTTCCTTGAGACTAACGTTCACGATGATTCCCGACCGCACACGACTCTTGAAGCACGATTTCACATCTTGCCACACCAAATTCTTCTTGTTAGGACGCACTACCGAAACTCCGGACACTTTATTTTTAATTTTCAGTTTTTTTAGCTGTTCACGATAATATTTCAGCACAGCCAAATTGTTTTCCAAACGGAATATATTATCGTTCTTGTCAATCTTGTGAATTTTAATTTTGATGGCCTCGTTTATTACACCGATATTTTTATTTATAATTTTGATGTGTCTGTTGATCTCGTCATCGGTCTTCAACAGAGTCAACGATTTTTTGGTCAGTTTAATAATTTTACTGCTGACATCACACACGGTCTCGGCAACTGACATTTTGTATTTCAATAAAAAAGTTTAACACGACTTTGAAAAGCAAACAAAACAATCACGTGCACTCGAACAAATTTCGAAAGCAAATGAGACCTTTTCACTAGTCCGCAGGCTTTTATAGTCGACGCGTTCGGCTATTTCCGGTTATAACCGGTTATATCCGGTTATATCCAGTTTTGCATCAAAAGTCTCTGAAACGCTGGACAGATAAAGCCATTGCACAACATTATGCAACATTATGAAATATGTCATCACCTGTTTATCTACAAGTTCCCACGCTAGGACCACAGCTACAGATTGAAACTTGTTTAAAAGCCAGACAAAATTCCAAGAAAGGGGTAAAAAATCATATATTTGTTTACATAACGGTAATATAAACAACGCTTTGGTCGCGTATTTTCCAAGAAATATATCTATATATCAATTTCCGAGAAAAAATTATGGCGCATACCGCCTTTGAAGTTTGTTTACATAACCGCTTAAAAACCAGACAAAATTCCAAGAAAAGGGTAATAAATCATACATTTGTTTACATAACTGTAATAAAAACAACACCTGGACTGGAAATGGTGATGACGTCATCATTGTTTTCCAAGAACATGAGTCATGCCAACCTCTACAATAAAAAATAGCTGCTATAATTTTGTCAAATAATTCAAATGTTAAATCCATTTAAAACGCCTTTCGGTGAACACCCTGTATATGCATACTCTAATAATATTATAAACTAACCTTTCCCAACTGATATTTATACGTAAATATTCGATTGTTGGTGTAATATTATTTTATGTGATAATAATGATATGATCAAAATTTGTTTACTTTATAGTCACGTTCTCATATGAAGCTGGAGAAATATGTTTATTTACATTTAAAAAATGCATCCAAGAGAGTATCAAAGCAAATGCTAAAACCGAACAACTCATATGTGTTGATTCGACACGGGATTTATTTTTTTAAATAATATTTTTACCATGAGTAATATTAGTCGATTTTTATCTGAAGCCTCCGCTATTGTTTATATTAACATCTTATTTGGTATTAGTCATACACAGCTGTGGCCATATTCCAGGAAAGTTACATCATCATGTTGTTATCTTAAACCCACGCGCGCGCGCTCGTTTCTTATATTTTCTACCTTATAACAAAAAGATTGATACCAAGAGGCCGTCGCCGCTGCCGCCGCCGATGACGGACCCCGACTTCTTCTTCTGCATTCCGCACCTGCACCCCGCTGCCCCCCGCCGCTGCTCATGCACGCACGTGGTGCCGCCTCTGACGTCACACTCCTCGATGCCGACCTCCTGGTCATTGCCGATGATGGTCCCCGGTTTCTTCTTCTGCAATCCAGATCCCCCACCCCCGCACCCCACTGACACTTCTTCAGCGTGACCTTGGAGCTGCTGCTAGAGACCTGGTGCCAGCTCCGGATGGCGGCAGCCCGATGGTAGCCTGGAAGTGGCCTAGAATGTCCACTGCTTAACTACTCATATGGCTTCTACTCTTCGCAGCCACTGGGTTTGATTGAACCTGCAGCCCAGTACAGGTGTTTGATCTGTTCCATCTATCAATTTGTCTAACGGGTTTTCTCAGCGTCGGGAATCACAGCCACAAGTTGGACGCCATGTAAACGCGCGCGTGCGCCAAGTTGCTCGCCGGGTTGCGCGCCTGCGCCCGACGCACCGCCGGTCCTTCTGGTACTCCCGTCCGAGCGTCTAGTATCATGTTCAAGATTTATTTGGTCATTTAAACGTCATCGGGACGCATTCCCCCCAGGTCGCGGTATGGTAACGTTCCACCCCCTATTTCAGTTTCCGTCGGCAGAATAAATGCCCCCTCCAGTGACTCTGTAAAGGTCAGCGACTCCCGGAGTTGATCCTCATTTAAATCCTGGCCCGGTGGGAGCGCGCATGCACCCTGTTTATCTCTTGATGCCATAGTCAAATATATACACACAGCAAAATAGATAAAATGCAAATGGGACAGTTTATTTACTAACACTTTACGTTTATTAGTTCACCATTAGTTCCTAAATAACTTCATTAACGTGAAAATATCAATGACTAAATATTAGTTCGTATTTATCAGTTAAAAGTTTAAAAGTCCACTCTGACACACTATCTATGTTTTTCGCGCCTTGACACTATAGTTCATGAATTTTAAAAGTCACTTCAATGAGGTAAAAGTCTAAATAGTCTTTGATTGGCACCAACTCAGTTCAATGGATAAATAAAAGTCTTTCACTTACCCTCGTAGCTGAGTCCGGTCCTGCCGTCTCTTCACTTTGTTTTAGACAAATTTACGTAATTTATTATTAAAATGCTAAATTTGGAAGTAAAGTTACTAAAGGTTACTTTCTCTGACTAATTACTGTTACTAAATCACAATCTAGACAAGTACTATTTACTAATAAGTCTTTTTTTCTCTCTTTCAGGTATTTTCCACTACAGGAAACGACACAGAAGGCGCCGTTGCTACAAGAGGACGAGAATAATACGCTGGAGCGCACTGGAGACGTATATTAACAGATAAGTTTCTTTAATACACTCTGTTCCTTTTCAGGTTATAGATTTAAGACACCTAGGTTTGCGTTTCAAACACAAATTTGTCGAGAACCACGACAGATTGTTCCGCAAACTCCGGAAAAGGGTTTTTACTGCCCCGATAATGGTCTAATTGCACTCACAAGTTTATAATACCGATTATTTTAAACTTCTGCCGTATTTTAATGTTGTTTGTTTACACCAGTACTCGCTCTGTGCCCAGTACGAGTTTCCCCAGAACGTTCAATACTAACAACTATCACGGTTATATGGACTGAAGTAGGTAATATTTCGCTATTCATCAAATTACGGGTCCCACAGGATACCCGGCGTTCGCACAAAAGGATGTAGAAACTTTTCTACATTAAAAATATAAGTTTAACTTGAACAAGCGTAGCGTCCTAAGGCATCTGACAATTGCTCTCAGCTCGAAAAACGTCCTGTCAACGCTTCCTCTTTTGTTTACACCAACTTGGGCTCGGAACGGGTTGTCTGAGCTTTGGCTAGTGCTGTGACCTTAACAAAAAACGCCGATACAGTTTAGAGCGGGTCGTGGAGTTCGTAGGTGTTGGGGTCTATCTCATCCGAGATAGGTTCGAAGTAAAGAAAGTAATGCCCGAGCAATATCAAAATTTAGAAAAATTGAGGAAAGTGGGAGATAATTAAAAAGAATTTAAATTTAATAAAAACAAAATTGAAAAATTTATGTCAGGCGCCAGTAAATTTTAAAGTGAATCTACAAACTTTTGTTTCCTAACCGGATTCCTCTTAAATCTAGGTCAGGTTTGTATAACTGTGGATCCTTTCTGATCCTGAAGGTAAGTTGGAAAAGTAATAAAGGACTAAGTCCCTATTTGAATTTAAAATTTTTTATAAAAAAAAAAAATTTTCAAAAAATTATTCAGTTTTTTGAAAAAAACTAAGTTTGACTAAAGAATAAATTTTATTCAGAAAATATATTTCTGAGGTTAGGTGCGAAAAGTAACTTTTGAGTTCAAAAAAAATTTTATTTTGAAAAATTATCCGAAAATCCTTTTTTCGAAAATTTATTTTCGACTTTAAAAAAAAAAATTTTTTATTATTATTATTAAAACTTGGGAAGGTTTTTCTTCAAGAAAAACAAGTTTAAAAAAGGTATAAACTATATTACAATAACTGTACAAATAATATTTTTCTAGAAGAGAAAAATTGACAATGAGATTAACACTGTTAAAAACCTATTAATCTAACAAAATAAGTAATAGTGATTCACTGGAATAATCTCTGCAACGAAAATCCAGGAAACAACAAATTCAACTACCAGACCGTAGAAAAAAGAGTACTAGGTATATGAAAATGAACGTTACTAAACTTATTCAAACTAATTACAAAAAAATCGCGGAATTCTACTAACCACTTTTTATGTAATCCTCTGTATAATCCTTTCGGCTTTTCCGAAAAACTGCACTAACTTTCTATGTCGGTTTCAGTTCCGATCCAACTCTTTAATTACTGAAGGTAATTAGACAATTTAACGAGCACTTTGTATGTCGAAGACTAGCAAGACTCGGAGCATTCACACAAGGTTACTTTCGAAAATTTTTTACTTTATTCCCAGTAATTGCGGATGAAGACTAACTTTGTAACTTTGCTGGAAGAAATTGGTTGTAAACTAAGAATCAGACCAATTGAACTTCGGCGATAAACTTCTCGAAGCAATCACGCAATGTCACTTTCGTAGATTTATTTCACTGTATTCCGTACTTGAGAATGAAGATTTTAACTTGTAACTTATTAAAAGAACTTAGTTGAAAACTTAGTATTGAACTAAAGGACTTCGGTGAGGAACTAAACTTGTCGATGAACTTCTTGGCGATGAACTGATTTCAAAAACGAAAAGCCAGCCCTTTTATTTAGAAATTTTCAGTCATTAAGGGTGATTCTCCCCTAACTATTGCGTATTTGCAATCATGACATCATGCTTTGCAATATTTCATCAGATTTCATCATCTTTCTAGAACTTTCTAGAGGATTTCCTCAAAAATAACAAAAGCAAACTGATGGTTTTGATACTCGATTCTGATTGGTCCCGGCCTTGGCGAGGAGCAGAATACTGGCATCTAATTGGCTGAAGGCTCTAGTATAAGTATTAAAGTGGTATAAAATGCAAATTTCGATTTTTTCTCGTTCATTTGATATCGTAGCCTCTAGGTCTACAACAGTCCCGCGTCGTTATAAATTTTGGTCGGACGGGTAGTCCCCGCCCTATATCTAGGTTTCGACCAATCCCAGGCCTAGAATTCTCGCTACGTTTAATAAAACTAATTTGCTGTTGTAGTTCTGAAGGCCGAGACCAGAATGAACTAGCTGACGCGCCAATATCCTTGGCAGGAAAAATGATCTCGGATGGTGCGGGGTCGAGCGGGTTTATCGTTCTTTACCCACTTCATCGCTGTAGGCCCGGACGCCTCGTAGAGGTAG